TGAGCGTATTTGATAGGAGTGAATGGAGACAATTGTTTTTTAATACCTGACATGCTGTTGGAGTGTGAGCAAAGCAACATTTATGAATGGATTCAGGGAAACCGGCAGGCTGGACTTGAGTCCTGGAGATGGGAAGTACAGTGTCTGCAGTCTGAAGGAGTATTAATGCTGCAGTTTTATAACTGTAGTGTAAGCACATCTCAGGCAAGATAGTGATGGAGTGAATGATGAAGAAATTTTTTTTTTTGATGAATTTATATATATATATATATATATATATATATATAAATATATATATATATATATATGTATATATTATATACGTATATATATATATACGTATATATATATACGTATATATATATATATATATATATATATATATATATATATATATATATATATATATATATATATATATATATATATATATATATATATATATATATATATATATTCAACAAGTCGACCATCTCCCACCGAGGCAGGGTGACCCAAAAAAAGAAAATCCCCAAAAAGAAAATACTTTCACCATCATTCAACACTTTCACCACACTCACACATTATCACTGTTTTTGCAGAGGTGCTCAGAAATACAACAGTTTAGAAGCACATGCGTATAATGATACACAACATATCCCTCCAAACTGGCAATATCCCAAATCCCTCCTTTAAAGTGCAGGTATTGTACTTCCCATTTCCAGGACTCAAGTCCGACTATATGAAAATAACCGGTTTCCCTGAATCCCTTCACTAAATATTACCCTGCTCACACTCCAACAGATCGTCAGGTCCCAAGTACCATTTGTCTCCATTCACTCCTATCTAACAGGCTTACGCACGCTTGATGGAAGTCCAAGCCCCTCGCCCATATACACCTACCATCCGACTTACGACCGAGTTCGGTTCCGAGAAACCAGTCGTAAGTCGAAATGGTCGTAAGTCAAACTTCACTACTGAATATCAACAAAACATTTTTGTAATGACTTTATTTTATTGTTTTATTTTGGTATTTCGTGTTTTACTGTACTTTTTATGCTGTTAGTACTGTATTTTATACTGTAAGGTTTAGGATAAACACTGAGTACAACACAAATACATGTAGTTGTTTATTTCCCAGAAATTTGGCATAAAAAACACGGTCGTAAGTCGAGTGGTCGTAAGTTGAGCAGGTCGTAAGTCGGATGGTAGGTGTGTGTGTGTGTGTATAAATATATATATATATATATACAGTGGACCCCCGCATACCGATTTTAATCCGTGCAAGAGGGGTCATTGTTATGCGAAATAATCGGTATGCGAATGAATTTTCCCCATAAGAAATAATGGAAATCAAATTAATCCGTGCAAGACACCCAAAAGTATGAAAAAAAAAATTTTACCACATGAAATGTTAATTTTAATACACACAAACTGAAAAAGGCATGCACACTTACATGACACTTACTTTTATTGAAGATCTGGTGATGATTGATGGGATGGGAGGAGGGGAGAGAGAGTGTTAGTGTTTAGAAGGGGAATCCCCTTCCATTAAGACTTGAGGTGTCAAGTCCTTTTCTGGGGTTACTTCCCTTCTTCTTTTAATGCCACTAGGACCAGCTTCAGAGTCACTGGACTTCTTTCGCACAACATATCTGTCCATAGTGGCCTGTACCTCTCGTTCCTTTATGACTTCCCTAAAGTGTTAAACAACATTGTCAGTGTACAGGTTGCCAACATGGCTTGCAATAGCTGTGTGAGGGTGATTTTCATCAAAAAAGGTTTGCACTTCAAGCCACTTTGCACACATTTCCTTAATCTTTGTAGTAGGCAACTTCTTCAATTTCTCTCTCCCCTCCTCTGAACCAGTTTCCTCAGGTCTGGCCTCTTGCTGTTGAAGTTGATCTATCAGCTCATCAGTGGTTAGTTCTTCATTGTCCTCCTCCACCAACTCTTCCACATCCTCCCCACTAACCTCCAACCCCAAGGACTTTCCCAATGCCACAATGGATTCCTCAACTGGCAGATCCCACTATCAGATCCCACAACGGTTAACTTGTGGGACTTGATCAGTGCAGACGAAAACTGATAGTGAGGTGCTGGCCTGACCCCTTATATAGCTTCCTTGTATGCTTTACTTTCATAGTTCCTTGATAATGTGAGTAGTCACGAAAGCGCTTGGAATTTCTCTATTTTTTCAGAGTGGTTGTTTTGCATATTCCGAAATCACCTGTTTACTGTGATCTTATTGCATTAATGGATACCACACGACTCTTCAGAATGTTCTCGATAAGCTTTCCTAATCATATATCTTTTGTTTCACAGTTTTTGTCTGCACTGATCAAGTCCCACAAGTTAACCGTTGTGGGATCTGATAGTGAGGTGCTGGCCTGACCCCTTATATAGCTTCCTTGTATGCTTTACTTTCATAGTTCCTTGATAATGTGAGTAGTCACAAAAGCGCTTGGAATTTCTCTATTTTTTCAGAGTGGTTGTTTTGCATATTCCGAAATCACCTGTTTACTGTGATCTTATTGCATATATATATATATATATATACAGTGGACCCCTGCATACCGATTTTAATCCGTGCAAGAGGGCTCATTGGTATGCGAAATAATCGGTATGCGAATGAATTTTCCCCATAAGAAATAATGGAAATCAAATTAATCCGTGCAAGACACCCAAAAGTATGAAAAAAAAAATTTTACCACCTGAAATATACATTTTCCTACACACAAAGAGAAGGATACATGCACAATAGTAGAGTAGTACATGCACAGTATATATTGTGCATGTACTAGTCTACTAAATGAAGAATAAATGACACTTACCTTTATTGAAGATGCAGCAATGACTGATGAGACACTGTGTCCTGGGAGTGCCTTTTCCTCCTGAGTACTGTAGGTCCTGTTAGGCATTTTCTTCCAGAACAGGCCTTATCACACTGTGTATGCCACTACGATTCTTAAATCTCTCAAACCAACCTTTGCTGGCTTTAAATTCACCAATATGAGCACTAGTTCCAGGCATTTTTCCCTGTTCACCTGGGTGTTAGTCGACTGGTGTGGGTTGCATCCTGGGAGACAAGATTAAGGACCCCAATGGAAATAAGTTAGACAGTCTTCGATGACACTGACTTTTTTGGGTTATCCTGGGTGGCAAATCCTCTGGGGTTAATTGTTTCTTGGTATATTCTCAATAAGCCACACCAACAACAGTGCTACAGCAGCAGCAGATGATGCTACAGCAGCAGCAGATGATGCTACAGCAGCAGCAGATGATGCTACAGCAGCAGCAGCAGCTGACAGTGCTATAGCAGCAGCAGACGATGCTACAGCAGCAGCAGACGATGCTACAGCAGCAGCAGACGATGCTACAGCAGCAGCAGACGATGCTACAGCAGCAGCAGCAGACGATGCTACAGCAGCAGCAGCAGCTGACAGTGCTACAGCAGCAGCAGACGGTGCTACAGCAGCAGCAGATGGTACTACAGCAGCAGCAGCTGACGGTGGTACAGCAGCAGCAGCAGCTGACGGTGCTACAGCAGCAGCAGCATTAGCAGTTGACCATGGTACCACAGTATTTCGATAATATTTCTCACCCTTTTTACCACAGGGTTGGCACTAGAAGCTTTCTTGGGGCCCATGGTCACTTATTTTGCAGATAAAATCACCAAAAACACTGTAATAATACGAAATGTTCCGATTGTATGCTTGGATGTTACCGCGGAGGCTGGCTTGTAAACAATGCCACCGGCGGAACATGTGAGGCTGGCTCAGGCCGCACATTAGACGCGTCTCAGACGAATAGCGTTGAGCGGGTTTTTTAGCGGTATGCGAGGCAAAATCTTAGCGATAAAATGTATCGGTATGCGGATTTAACGTTATGTGATGCCAACGGTATGCGGGGGTCCACTGTACATTATATACAGTATTGGTCTCTCAGGCCCCAAATGTTAGTAGGAATAGAAAAAATTGGAAAAGAAAAGAAAAAAACTATAAAAACCGCTAAATAATGTAATGCACGTATGTGGAATTCGTCGATGTTGCCGCCACCACATCATTTTTGACAAACTTCTTGGCACTGTATCTCGGTAAGTACTGATCAGAAATTTTTTTTTTGTCTTATTACCTTCACAAAAATATGCTCTTTAATTCTGTAAGAATTTTTTTTTTTTTTTTTTTTTTTTTTTTTTTTTTTAAATTTCTTGCACACTGGAGCACCACTTCAGATTTTGGCCTTGGACCCTGAAGGGGTTAAAGGAGGGGTTTGGGATATTGGCAGTTTGGAGGGATATGTTATATATCTTTACATATGCTTCTAAACTGTTGTATCTGGGTGCCTCTGCAAAAACATTGATTTTGTATAAGTAAGGTGAAAGTTCTAGGTAGTAGTTTGGTAGACAGCAACCGCCCAGGGAGGTACTACCGTCCTGCTAAGTGAATGTAAAACGGAAACCTGTAATTGTTTTACATGATAGGATTTTTTTTTTTTTTTTTCTGTAACACTTCACTTACATGTACAAGCATATATATACACACACTCCTGGGTTTTTGTCTGTTTTCTTTCTAGTTCTTGTTCTTGTTTATTTCCTTTTATCTCCATGGGGAAGTGGAACAGAATTCTTCCTCCGTAAGCTATGCGTGTTGTAAGAGGCGACTAAAATGCCGGGAGCAAGGGGCTAGTAACCCCTTCTCCTGTATTACTAAATTTGAAATGAGAAACTTCTGTTTTTCTTTTTGGGCCACCCCACCTCAGTGGGATACGGCTGGTGCGTTGAAAGAAAGAAGAAAAGTGAAAGTATTGAATGATGATGAAAGTATTTTCTTTTTGGGGATTTTCTTTCTTTTTTTGTCACCCTACCTCGGTGGGGGATGACTGACGTGTTAAAAAAAAAAAATGTGGAGGGGCTTTTTTATTACCTGTTATATAAAATTTAAGTATGACATGATGCATATCTGTATCATTACTTTTGCTTATTTCTATAGTCAGTATACTGCTGTTCACTTTTTTCCCAGGTATAGTGCTAGTGATGAGCAGTTAGCACGAGCTTATCGTGTGATGGACAACGAATTACGCACCAGTTTCACATTGTTTGCTGAAGAAGCTGCTACTCAGGATGTTGTTGATGGTGTAAGCATGAACATTAATAACAGTAGGAGTTCACCTGATGCAAGTATGAGATTAGCTCCTCCTCTCCTAAGCCCAAGACAGTCTAGATCATGTCCATGCAGTCCAAAATTGTCGGGAAGAAACCACAGCCCTAAATCAAATACTGGCAGCCCTAAGCCTCAGTCTCGTTCGGTTAGCTCCAAATTCTCACTCAGCAGTTCACTCATGGCTATCCACAGGCAAGCCTCCAATTCTTTCAGACCAGATTTTCTTCGCTTTGACTTAGGCAAGGGAGATTTTAGTAGTAATAATTCTAAGAATGGCTCTCAACAAAACAGTCTAAGAAATGAGTCTAGGCATTCTCGCCCCAGTGTAGAGGCACACAATAGTAGCTTTGGTGATTCACACATGGATTCAAGTAACAGTGGGTCTCTAAGGGAAGAGTCCAGCAGAAATGAGCCCTCAAGAATTGCTTTACATGAAAGTCAGTCACTCCCCACACTAAAACTCTCAAAAATGTCTATGACTTATAAAGGAGGTATTATTATCAACCACGATAAGGATGCTATACAATTTCCTTATTCTGAAACGTCAAAATTACTTGTAGAAGGAGCCTGTGCACTACCCTCTACCCCTGAAGATGACACAGTTTCAGAAGAGCTGTCTGGCCCTGCATTGCTTCTTCCTGATGTTGTACCCAGGTATGAAGTTGGAGGATCACCCTTAAACCAAATATCTGAATCTGAACCATCAGCATCCTCTGCTCCTCCAACCCCTGTAGAATATTCTGTTAGTTACCATTATGATACTAAGGAGGGAATAGTTAACCTAGGTTTTGATGGACATGAAGAAAGTACAGATTTCACCGACATGAATGAAGATACGAGTACCAAAGCTTCTGATACAGAAAATCATTCTGCTCAAAAAAGTAGGAGAGGATCAGCTGATAGTGATATTGACATAGGGAAGCACAATATACAGATGAACATTGTGAATGTACATGCTATCTCCATAGGTCATGTATCCCAAGGTGAAGACATGGCATTGTCACTGGAGGTCCCTCAGTCTAAAGCTCAAGAACTCTCACATCCCGGTGAGTACATGTATTGTTTTACATTAGAAATGTTATTACCTAGGTGGTAAGGAGACACAGTCACATGATTCCTTTAGTGATGCTGTTTTACCAATAGTAGCTTTATCAAATCCACTTCACAGGTGAAATGTTGTCTTTCCCCTTTCAGTAACACCGTATCAGTATCTTACACCATTATATACCCATCAATTATTACCTAGGTCAAAATGTACAACTTTCCCTACTCAACTTATGGATTACTACATTGACTACTATAATAAAAATTAGTTACCTTTATTGCATTTAAAGAATTGACATTAGCTTGTGGAGATAGTGTTCATGATAATTACAATGAGTGGAAAATAGTTTTAAAATAAATGACATTGTTCTAAAGGGTTTAGGCATAAAGACAATAAAAATAACATTATCATATATTGGTAGGGGACCTGAATGCTAAAGTAGGAGAAACTTTTAGAGAGGGTGTGGTAGGTAAGTTTGGGGTGCCAGGTGTAAATGATAATGGGAGCCCTTTGATTGAACTTTGTATAGAAAGGGGTTTAGTTATAGGTAATACATATTTTAAGAAAAAGAGGATAAATAAATATACAAGATATGATGTAGGGCGAAATGACAGTAGTTTGTTGGATTATGTATTGGTAGATAAAAGACTGTTGAGTAGACTTCAGGATGTACATGTTTATAGAGGGGCCACAGATATGTCAGATCACTTTTTAGTTGTAGCTACACTGAGAGTAAAAGGTAGATGAGATACAAGGAGAATAGAAGCATCAGGGAAGAGAGAGGTGAAGGTTTATAAACTAAAAGAGGAGGCAGTTAGGGTAAGATATAAACAGCTGTTGGAGGATAGATGGGCTAATGAGAGCATAGGCAATGGGGTCGAAGAGGTATGGGGTAGGTTTAAAAATGTAGTGTTGGAGTGTTCAGCAGAAGTTTGTGGTTACAGGAAGGTGGGTGCAGGAGGGAAGAGGAGCGATTGGTGGAATGATGATGTAAAGAGAGTAGTAAGGGAGAAAAAGTTAGCATATGAGAAGTTTTTACAAAGTAGAAGTGATGCAAGGAGGGAAGAGTATATGGAGAAAAAGAGAGAGGTTAAGAGAGTGGTGAAGCAATGTAAAAAGAGAGCAAATGAGAGAGTGGGTGAGATGTTATCAACAAATTTTGTTGAAAATAAGAAAAAGTTTTGGAGTGAATTAACAAGTTAAGGAAGCCTAGAGAACAAATGGATTTGTCAGTTAAAAATAGGAGAGGAGAGTTATTAAATGGAGAGTTAGAGGTATTGGGAAGATGGAGGGAATATTTTGAGGAATTGTTAAATGTTGATGAAGATAGGGAAGCTGTGATTTCGTGTATAGGGCAAGGAGGAATAACATCTTGTAGGAGTGAGGAAGAGCCAGTTGTGAGTGTGGGGAAAGTTCGTGAGGTAGTAGGTAAAATGAAAGGGGGTAAGGCAGCCGGGATTGATGGGATAAAGATAGAAATGTTAAAAGCAGGTGGGGATATAGTTTTGGAGTGGTTGGTGCAATTATTTAATAAAAGTATGGAAGAGGGTAAGGTACCTAGGGATTGGCAGAGAGCATGCATAGTCCCGTTGTATAAAGGCAAAGGGGACAAAAGAGAGTGCAAAAATTATAGGGGGATAAGTTTGTTGAGTGTACCTGGTAAAGTGTATGGTAGAGTTATTATTGAAAGAATTAAGAGTAAGACGGAGAATAGGATAGCAGATGAACAAGGAGGCTTTAGGAAAGGTAGGAGGTGTGTGGACCAGGTGTTTACATTGAAACACATAAGTGAACAGTATTTAGATAAGGCTAAAGAGGTCTTTGTGGCATTTGTGGATTTGGAAAAGGCGTATGACAGCGTGGATAGGGGTCAATGTGGCAGATGTTGCAGGTGTATGGTGTAGGAGGTAGGTTATTGAAAGCAGTGAAGAGTTTTTACGAGGATAGTGAGGCTCAAGCTAGAGTATGTAGGAAAGAGGGAAATTATTTCCCAGTAAAAGTAGGCCTTAGACAAGGATGTGTGATGTCACCGTGGTTGTTTAATATATTTATAGATGGGGTTGTAAGTGCGAGGGTCTTGGCAAGAGGCGTGGAGTTAAAAGATAAAGAATCACACATAAAGTGGGAGTTGTCACAGTTGCTCTTTGCTGATGACACTGTGCTCTTTGGAGATTCTGCAGAGAAGTTGCAGAGATTGGTGGATGAATTTGGTAGGGTATGCAAAAGAAGAAAATTAAAAGTGAATACAGGAAAGAGTAAGGTTATGAGGATAACAAAAAGATTAGGTGATGAAAGATTGGATATCAGATTGGAGGGAGAGAGTATGGAGGAGGTGAATGTATTCAGATATTTGGGAGTGGACATGTCAGCGGATGGGTCTATGAAAGATGAGGTGAATCATAGAATTGATGAGGGGAAAAGGGTGAGTGGTGCACTTAGGAGTCTGTGGAGACAAAGAACTTTGTCCTTGGAGGCAAAGAGGGGAATGTATGAGAGTATAGTTTTACCAACGTTCTTATATGGGTGTGAAGCATGGGTGATGAATGTTGCAGCGAGGAGAAGGCTGGAGGCAGTGGAGATGTCATGTCTGAGGGCAATGTGTGGTGTGAATATAATGCAGAGAAATCGTAGTTTGGAAGTTAGGAGGAGGTGCGGGATTACCAAAACTGTTGTCCAGAGGGCTGAGGAAGGGTTGTTGAGGTGGTTCGGACATGTGGAGAGAATGGAGCGAAACAGAATAACTTCAAGAGTGTATCAGTCTGTAGTGGAAGGAAGGCGGGGTAGGGGTCGGCCTAGGAAAGTTTGGAGGGAGGGGGTAAAGGAGGTTTTGTGTGCGAGGGGCTTGGACTTCCAGCAGACATGCGTGAGCGTGTTTGATAGGAGTGAATGGAGACAAATGGTTTTTAATACTTGACGTGCTGTTGGAGTGTGAGCAAAGTAACATTTATGAAGGGGTTCAGGGAAACCGGCAGGCCGGACTTGAGTCCTGGAGATGGGAAGTACAGTGCCTGCACTTTGAAGGAGGGGTGTTAATGTTCCAGTTTAAAAACTGTAGTGTAAAGCACCCTTCTGGCAAGACAGTGATGGAGTGAATGATGGTGAAAGTTTTTCTTTTTCAGGCCACCCTGCCTTGGTGGGAATCGGCCAGTGTGATAATAAAAAAATATATTTTTTTGCTTAAGATAATACATCTAGGTTTTTCTACTTTTTCTAAATAGCTCTTGTTCTTCTTTATTTCTTCTATTGTCCATGGGGAAGTGGAAAAGAATCTTTCCTCCGTAAGCCATGCGTGTCGTATGAGGTGACTAAAATGCCGGGAGCAATGGGCTAGTAACCCCTTCTCCTGTAAACATTTACTAAAAAAGAGAAGAAGAAAAACTTTATAAAACTGGGATGCTTGAATGTGCGTGGATGTAGTGCGGATGACAAGAAACTGATGATTGCTGATGTTATGAATGAAAAGAAGTTGGATGTCCTGGCCCTAAGCGAAACAAAGCTGAAGGGGGTAGGAGAGTTTCAGTGGGGGGAAATAAATGGGATAAAATCTGGAGTATCTGAGAGAGTTAGAGCTAAGGAAAGGGTAGCAATAATGTTGAAGGATCAGTTATGGAAGGAGAAAAGAGAATATGAATGTCTAAATTCAAGGATTATGTGGATTAAAGTAAAGGTTGGATGCGAAAAGTGGGTCATAATAAGAGTGTGTGCACCTGGAGAAGAGAGGAATGTAGAGGAGAGAGAAAGATTTTGGGAGATGTTAAGTGAATGTATAGGAACCTTTGAACCAAGTGAGAGAGTAATTGTGGTGGGGGACCTGAATGCTAAAGTAGGAGAAACTTTTAGAGAGGGTGTGGTAGGTAAGTTTGGGGTGCCAGGTGTAAATGATAATGGGAGCCCTTTGATTGAACTTTGTATAGAAAGGGGTTTAGTTATAGGTAATACATATTTTAAGAAAAAGAGGATAAATAAGTATATAAGATATGATGTAGGGCAAAATGACAGTAGTTTGTTGGATTATGTATTGGTAGATAAAAGACTGTTGAGTAGACTTCAGAATGTACATGTTTATAGAGAGGCCACAGATATATCAGATCACTTTTTAGGTGTAGCTACACTGAGAGTAAAAGGTAGATGGGATACAAGGAGAATAGAAGCATCAGGGAAGAGAGAGGCAAAGGTTTATAAACTAAAAGAGGAGGCAGTTAGGGTAAGATATAAACAGTTATTGGAGGATAGATGGGCTAATGAGAGCATAGGCAATAGGGTCAAAGAGGTATGGGGTAGGTTTAAAAACGTAGTGTTAGAGTGTTCAGCAGAAGTTTGTGGTTACAGGAAGGTGGGTGCAGGAGGGAAGAGGAGCGATTGGTGGAATGATGATGTAAAGAGAGTAGTAAGGGAGAAAAAGTTAGCATATGAGAAGTTTTTACAAAGTAGAAGTGATGCAAGGAGGGAAGAGTATATGGAGAAAAAGAGAGAGGTTAAGAGAGTGGTGAAGCAATGTAAAAAGAGAGCAAATGAGAGAGTGGGTGAGATGTTATCAATAAATTTTGTTGAAAATAAGAAAACGTTTTGGAGTGAGATTAACAAGTTGAGGAAGCCTGGAGAACAAATGGATTTGTCAGTTAAAAGTAGGAGAGGAGAGTTATTAAATGGAGAGTTAAAGGTATTGGGAAGATAGAGGGAATATTTTGAGGAATTGTTAAATGTTGATGAAGATAGGGGAGCTGTGATTTCATGTATAGGGCAAGGAGGAATAACATCTTGTAGGAGTGAGGAAGAGTCAGTTGTAAGTGTGGGGGAAGTTCGTGAGGCGGTAGGTAAAATGAAACGGGGTAAGGCAGCTGGGATTGATTGGATAAAGATAGAAATGTTAAAAGCAGGTGAGGATATAGTTTTGGAGTGGTTGGTGCTATTATTTAATAAATGTATGGAAGAGGGTAAGGTACCTAGGGATTGGCAGAGAGCATACATAGTTCCTTTGTATAAAGGCAAAGAGGACAAAAGAGAGTGCAAAAATTATAGGGGAATAAGTCTGTTGAGTGTACCTGGTAAAGTGTATGGTAGAGTTATTATTGAAAGAATTAAGAGTAAGACAGAGAATAGGGTAGCAGATGAACAAGGAGGCTTTAGGAAAGGTACGGGGTGTGTGGACCAGATGTTTACAGTGAAACATATAAGAGAACAGTATTTAGATAAGGCTAAAGAGGTTTTTGTGGCATTTGTGGATTTGGAAAAGGCGTATGACAGGGTGGATAGGGGGGCAATGTGACAGATGTTGCAGGTGTATGGTATAGGAGGTAGGATACTGAAAGCAGTGAAGAGTTTTTACGAGGATAGTGAAGCTCAAGTTAGAGTATGTAGGAGAGAGGGAGATTATTTCTCGGTAAAAGTAGGCCTTAGACAGGGATGTGTGATGTTACCGTGGTTGTGTAATATACAGTGGACCCCCAGTATTCGATATTAATCCGTTCCTGAGAACTCATCGAATACCAATAATATCGAAAACCGAATCAATTTTCCTCATAAGAAATAATGGAAATCAAATTAATCCTTGCAAGACACTCAAAAGTATGAAAAAAATAAATTTTACTACATGAAATATTAAGTTTAATGCAATAGAATAATTACAATAACAATAAAATAATTGACACTTACCTTTAATGATGATCTGGTGATGATTGATGGGATGGGAGGAGGGGAAAGGTGTTAGTGTTTAGAAGGGGAATCCCCTTCCATTAGGACTTGAGGTAGCAAGTCCTTTTCCGGGGTTACTTCCCTTCTTCTTTTAATGCCACTAGGACCAGCTTGAGAGTCACTGGACCTCTGTCGCACAACAAATCTGTCCATAGAGCTCTGTACCTCCCGTTCCTTTACGATTTGTCTAAAATGGGCCACAACATTGTCATTGTAATAGTCACCAGCAAGGCTTGCAATAGCTGTGTTAGGGTGATTTTCATCCATAAAGGTTTGCACTTCAACCCACTGTGCACACATTTCCTTAATTTTTGAAGTAGGCACAATGGATTCCACAACTGGCATAGGCTTCTCAGGGTTAGCCCCAAACCCTTCAAAATCTTTCTTAATTTCCATACTAATTCTCACCCTTTTTACCACAAGGTTGGCACTAGAAGCTTTCTTGGGGCCCATGGTGACTTATTTTGCAGAAACAAGCACCGAACACAGTGATAATATGGATAATATGAAATGTACCGAATGTATCCTTAGATGCGCGCACACTGCTGGCTTGTAAACATTGGCACACACGGGGCAGTTCAGGCCACACGTGGACAGGTCTCGTACGAATCGTATTGAATACCGGGTTTTCAATCGAATACTGAGGAAAAATTTTTGCGATATAATGCATCGAATACCGGATTTATCGAATACTGATGCCATCGAATACCGGGGGTCCACTGTATTTATAGAGGGGGTAGTAAGAGAAGTAAATGCAAGGGTCTTGGCAAGAGGCATGGAGTTAAAAGATAAAGAATCACACATAAAGTGGGAGTTGTCACAGTTGCTCTTTGCTGATGACACTGTGCTCTTGGGAGATTCTGAAGAGAAGTTGCAGAGGTTGGTGGATGATTTTGGGAGGGTATGTAAAAGAAGAAAATTAAAAGTGAATACAGGAAAGAGTAAGGTTATGAGGGTAACAAAAATATTAGGTGATGAAAGATTGGATATGGAGGAGGTGAATGTATTCAGGTATTTGGGAGTGGACATGTCAGCGGATGGGTCTATGAAAGATGAGGTGAATCATAGACTTGATGAGAGGAAAAGGGTGAGCGGTGCACTTAGGAGTCTGTGGAGACAAAGAACTTTGTCCTTGGAGGCAAAGAGGGGAATGTATGAGAGTATAGTTTTACCAACGCTCTTATATGGGTGTAAAGCATGGGTGATGAATGTTGCAGCGAGGAGAAGGCTGGAGGCAGTGGAGATGTCATGTCTGAGGGCAATGTGTGGTGTGAATATAATGCAGAGAATTCGTAGTTTGGAAGTTAGGAGGAGGTGCGGGATTGCCAAAACTGTTGTCCAGAGGGCTGAGGAAGGGTTGTTGAGGTGGTTTGGGCATGTAGAGAGAATGGAGCAAAACAGAATGACTTCAAGAGTGTGTCAGTCTGTAGTGGAAGGAAGGCGGGGTAGGGGTCGGCCTAGTAAATGTTGGAGGGAGGGGGTAAAGGAGGTTTTGTGTGCGAGGGGCTTGGACTTCCAGCGGGCATGGGTGAGCGTGTTTGATAGTGAATGGAGACAAATGGTTTTTAATACTTGACGTGCTGTTGGAGTGTGAGCAAAGTAACATTTATGAAAGGATTCAGGGAAACCGGCAGGCTGGACTTGAGTCCTGGAGATGGGAAGTACAGTGCCTGCACTCTAAAGGAGGGGTATTAATGTTGCAGTTTAAAAACTGTGGTGTAAAGCACCCTTCTGGCAAGACAGTGATGGAGTGAATGATTGTGAAAGTTTTTCTTTTTCGGGCCACCCTGCCTTGGTAGGAATCGGCCAGTGTGATAATAATAATAATACTGTGTAGTTGGGTAATGACTATTTGAAATATTGCAAATGTGTATTCACAAAAGAATGTACGTTTTTCTTCAGGTGTTGAGGCCAACAATATTTCTGATGTTATTGATGCATCATCAGGCTGTCCAACACCACCATCTACAGCTAGCCCTTCACTCTCTTCTCGCATCACTTCTGATACAACTGCAACTAGCTTGCAACGCCAAGTGGATGACAACACTGATGATGACCCTCCATATGACCATATGCAAGAAGCTCGGCAACTTGTATTTTGGTGGCAAAAGACAAACTATAGTGATGATTCAGAGTTTTGTCAAAATAATGCTGAATGTAAAGTGAAAGTAAGTTACCTGTTTAATTTTCTTATTCTGCATTGTTTATACTATGTACAGGCAAGCCTTGGTTAACCCTTTCACTGTTGGTGCTGTATAGATACATCTTACGAACCAGTGTTGGTGACGTATTAATACGCCAAAATTCTAGCAGCTTCAAATCTATTGGGAGAAGGCTGGTAGATCTACATGTGAAAGAATGGGTCTGCGTGCTCAGCATGCACAGTATTAAAAAAAATTGGGGCACCTGCATTGCATTGTGGGAACACCATTTCAGTAGTCCTTGTTTATCATGCCTTATTGTAAGAAATACCTCACTCCCCAGCGAATTTGGGACTCTTCTCTTCCCAAGTGATAGTTCTAACACAGATGGAAGTGTCAGTGAAGATGAATTTCATGGCTTTGAGGAGTTTGTGACCGAAAGCAATGCCCGTGATACCAGATATAGATAGTGAAAAGGGAAGGAAAGCTTGGGTGGTGGGGAAGGCAGCTTGGGTGGTGGGGAAGACAGCTTGGGTGGTGGGGAAGGTAGCTTAGGTAGTGGGGAAGGCAGCTTGGATGGTGAGGAAGCTGGTGTAGGTGATTGGGAAGACGGTGAGCAAGTTTATTCAGGTATACACGAATACAGTTACATAGATTATCATACTAGGATAACCCAAAAAAGTCAGAGTGATAGTGTGGGTGGGGAAGGTACCGTGGGTTTGTGTAAACATGTTTTGTAAGCAACATAACGATAACAGTGTTTGTGCGGTTATTGTGTTGCATACAACGGGTGGATATATATACATCATGCACTATATTGGTCTCACAGGCCACAAAAGTTACTTGAAAAAATAAAATATTAAAAAATAAAGAAAAATGTAGAATAAAAGTAAAAATAATATTACCAAATAAGAGGCAGTCAGTGATGTTGCCGTAAGCGGTTCACTTTCTGTCAACTTATATCTTGGTAAGTCTTCTTTCTTTCTTTCTTTCAACACACCGGCTGTATCCCACAGAGGCGGGGTGGCCCAAAAGGAAAAACGAAAGTTTCTCCTTTTACATTTAGTAATATATACAGGAGAAGAGGTTACTAGCCCCTTGCTCCCGGCATTTAAGTTGCCTCTTACAACACGCATGGCTTACGGAGGAAGAATTCTGTTCCACTTCCTCATGGAGGTAAGAAGAAATAAGAACAAGAACTAGAAAGAAAATAGAAGAAAACCCAGAGGGGTGTGTATATATATGCTTGTACATGTATGTGTAGTGTGGCCTAAGTGTAGATAGAAGTAGCAAGACGTACCTGAAATCTTGCATGTGTATGAGACAGAATAAAAAGATACCAGCAATTCTACCATCATGTAAAACAATTACAGGCTTCCATTTTACACTCACTTGGCAGAACGGTAGTACCTCCCTGGGCGGTTGTTGTCTACCAGCCTCCTACCTAGAATCTTGGTAAGTACTGATTATAAATTTTTTTTCTTTTAAAACACTCGGAAAAATATTCTTAAGATTTTGGTAAGATTTTTTTCGACGCTTGGTGAGTTTAGAAACAGGGCTGTCGACAGTGAAAGGGTTAACATCATGGGTCTGTTTGTAGCACAGCAGGAGGGCCCCTCCCCCACTTGCAACCTTAATCTTCTCTTCTTTCTTTCAACAAACCAGCCGTATCCCACCGAGGCAGGGTGACCCAAAAAGAAAAACAAAATTTTCTCTTTTTAACTTTTAGTAATATATACAGGAGAAGGGTCACTAGCCCCTTGCTCCCAGCATTTTAGTCGCCTCTTACAACATGCATGGCTTACAGAGGAAGAATTCTGTTCCACTTCCCCATGGAAATAAGAGGAAATAAGCAAGAAAAAGAACTAGTAAGAAAATAGAAGAAATCCCAGAGGAGTGTGTATATATATGCTTGTACATGCATGTGTCTAAGGGCAATGTGTGGTGTAAATATTATGCAGAAAATTCGGAGTGTGGAAATTAGGAGAAGGTGTGGAGTTAATAAAAGCATTAGTCAGAGGGCAGAAGAGGGGTTGTTGAGGTGGTTTGGTCATTTAGAGAGAATGGATCAAAGTAGAATGACATGGAAAGCATATAAATCTATAGGGGAAGGAAAGAGGGGTAGGGGTCGTCCTCGAAAGGGTTGGAAAGAGGGGGTAAAGGAGGTTTTGTGGGTGAGGGGCTTGGACTTCCCAGCAAGCGTGCATGAGCGTGTTAGATAGGAGTGAATGGAGACGAATGATACTTGGGAAACCCGACAATCTGTTGGGGTGTGAGCAGGGGAATATTTAGTGAAGGGATTCAGGGAAACCGGTTATTTTCATATTTGTCGGACTTGAGTCCTGGAAATGGGAAGTACAATTTCCTGCACTTTAAAGGGGGGTTTGGGATATTGGCAGTTTTGGAGGGATATGTTGTGTATCTTTATACGTATATGCTTCTAAACTGTTGTATTCTGAGCACCTCTGCAAAAGCAGTGATAATGTGTGAGTGTGGTGAAAGTGTTGAATGATGATGAAAGTATTTTCTTTTTGGGGATTTTCTTTCTTTTTTGGGTCACCCTGCCTCGGTGGGAGACGACCGACTTGTTGAAAAAAAAAAAACATGCATGTGTAGTGTGACCTAAGTGTAAATAGAAATAGCAAGACGTATCTGAAATCTTGCATGTTTATGAGACAGAAAAAAGGCATAAGCAATCCTACCATCATTTAAAACAAATACAGGCTTCCATTTTACACTCACTTGGTAGGATGGTAGTACCTCCATGAGTGGTTTCATCATCATTCACTCCATCACTGTTTTACCAGAGGCATGCTTACACTACAGTTATAAAACTGCAACATTAACACCCGTTCTTCAGAAAAGGAGAAAAGGACACTTGTGTACAGTTCAGGATATTTATTAACCCTTTGAAGGTCTGTGCTGTAGTTCTACGGCTTTGAAGCCAGAGTCTGCCGTAGTACTACATCATGAGCTCAGCTCACTCAGATAAGCTGTGAGTGGTAAATTTGGTCCTAAATATGAGAGAATGCATCTATGTGGTAAGTGTGCACCATATAAAACAAATCCTGCAGCACACAGCACATAATGAGGTAAAAAAAAAGTGTGTTTTTGAATCAAAACAGCAACTTTGCGGTGTATTTTTGTATAGTTTTTACAGTTGTATTTGCAGTTTCTTGGTCTCATTTGATGATTGGAAGATATATTACATCACAGGCTCAGAACTCAAATGATGTAGTTGAAGTTTTGGCAGTAAAGATTGAAAACCAAAACCTTGTCATTGTGGCTGTATACAAACTTCTGGATGCAACTTCCCAGCAATTCCAGGAACAGCTTTTGAAAACTGACCACTGTCTAGAAAATCTCCCAACTTCTTTCCCAAAGATCTTGCTACTGGGATATTTCAACTTGAGACATCTAAAATGGAGGGGTGTAGCAAATAATATTCTGTAATAAAGTTGGTAGAATTACCGACAATATGTAAAGTAAAAGGACACAAGTGCAACTAATGTGACATTTATTGTGGCAACGTTTCGCTCTCCAGGAGCTTTATCAAGCCATTACAAACAATACATGGACACAGAGGGTATATTTGCTAAAAAAGGGCTAAGATGTGAGGTGCAAATATAGTGTGGAAAACATTTCGATGTTCACTGGTGGTAGTAGTAGTAGTAGTGGTAGTGACAAAAGTAATACAATATGATAGAGCAATTAATTCGAACATGAGTAAAAGGATATAAAAGCTATTACTTAGCTCTTGTTCTTTTTTATTTCTTCTATTGTCCATGGGGAAGTGGAAAAGAATCTTTCCTCCGTAAGCCATGCGTGTCCGTATGAGGCGACTAAAATGCCGGGAGCAATGGGCTAGTAACCCCTTCTCCTGTATACATTTACTAAAAAAGAGAAGAAGAAAAACTTTATAAAACTGGGATGCTTAAATGTGCGTGGATGTAGTGCGGATGACAAGAAACAGATGATTGCTGATGTTATGAATGAAAAGAAGTTGGATGTCCAGGCTCTAGCGAAACAAAGCTGAAGGGGGTAGGAGAGTTTTTCAGTGGGGGGAATAAATGGGATTGAATCTGGAGTATATGAGAGAGTTAGAGGCAAAGGGGGAGGGGTAGCATTAGCAGTAATGTTTAAATGATCAGTATGGAAGGAGAAAGGATATGAATGTGTTAATTTCAAGAAATTATGTGGATTTAAAGTAAAGGTTGGATGCGAGAATGGAGTTCATATAAGCGTGTATGCACTGGGAAGAGAGGAATGCAGAGGAGGAGAGGATTTTGGGAGATGTTAAGGTGTATGTATAGGAGCCTATTGAAACCAAGTGAGAGAGTTTTTGTGGTTAGGGGACCTGAATGCTAAACGTAGGAGAAAACTTTTAGAGAGGGTGTGGTAGGTAAAGTTTGGCGGTGGTGAAGGTGTAAATGATAATGGGAGCCCTTTGAATTGACTTTGTACTAAGAAAGAGGGGTTTTAGAGAGTTATAGGTTAATAAATATTTTCAAGGAAAAAGAGGATAAATAAGTATACACGATATGATGTTAGGGCGAAATGACAGTAGTTTGTTGGATTATGTATTGGTAGATAAAGACGTTGAGATAGACTTCCAGGATGTACATGTTTATAGAGGGGCCAAGATATATCAGATCACTTTCTAGTGGGTAGCTACACTGAGAGTAAAAGGATAGATGGGTACAAGGAGAATAGAAGCATCAGGGGAAGAGAGAGGTGAGGTGTATAAACTAAAAGAGGAGGCAGTTAGGGTAGATCATAAACAGCTATTGGAGGATAGTGGGTAATGTGAGCATAGGCAATGGGGTCGAAAGAGGTATGGGGTAGGTTTAAAAATGTAGTGTTAGAGTGGTTCAGCAGAAGATTGTGCGTTACAGGAAAGTGGGTGAGGTGGGAAGAGGGCGATTGCGTGGAATGATTGAAATGAGGTAGTAAGGGAGAAACAAGTTAGCATATGGAGAAGTTTTTACAACAGTAGGAAGTGATGCAAGGAGGGAAGAGTATATGGA